GGATGTGGGTGGGTGTGGGAGTGAGTATGAGCGTGGGTGTGGATGTGAGTGTGGGCGTGTGTGCTGGTGTGGGTGTGGATGTGAGTGTGGGCGTGTGTGCTGGTGTGGGTGTGGTATACATAAAGGCAATACTCACACCCACCCTTACCTTTGATCAAGCTTTATAAAAAATTCATTATTTTTACAAAATAACGAAATTCCAAGGAGTACAGCGAATTATAATGGAAATGCAAGAAAGTATTATGGAAGTACAAGCAAGTACCATGGAAGGATCATAAATGCAGGAGAAAGTGTTACGGAAGTACGACAGAAGTATGCACTGCTGAAGTATGGTTCCTTCTCCTTTGGTTTTACATGGCTTCATTTTCCCAAAATTTCATTTTCGAAAATTTTAATTCACAGTGACTTGAAACATATTTTTAGTAATCATAACTGTATTAATCATCATTTAAATAACTTACTGTCGTAATTTAAAGTTGATTATGTAGGTAATGTTATTCAAGAAATATAATGACAAAAGATTGTCATTATGTATAGATATATGTAAAGCCTAGTATTCTCTGGGAAAAAAACCAGTTTATGTATTTTTAGGTATGTTGGGAATTTCCAACTGAAGAACTTGTGTTGGAATTTTTCTTACTTAGTCGTCGAACATGCTGTTTTGACAGAACGATAAAAATATGTCATTAAGTCAATTCTTGATACGCTGCTGTTGTGATTCGAAAGAAAAAAGAAAAATAAGCCAAAATTCATGATAAACATGCTCAAAATTGCACTCGAATGTCCCCAACACAAACATAGTTTAAGAACACAATTACCATCGTCTGAAGATGGGCAAGTCAAGTCAAGTCAAGCCAGACTTGTCTTGTAGCTTGGCCTTTAAAAGCAATTCACAAGTCAAGTAAAAAAATGGACATATTTTTGCAATTGATGGGTCTAACTCTTCTCTACACTAAAACTACCTATGAGCGCAGAAACAAGGGAAAAAAAATTCTTTCAGTACTTTAGATAACCGACGGCTAGATGAGACTATATAGTCATTTTTGGACTTGACTTGAATAGTTTTTTGGCGATTAATGACTTTACATGACTTGGGTTTTCGTTTCAATGACTTGAATCTTAAAAACCTCTGACTTGCCCATCTCTGCATCGTCGAACCGTTAATCAATATCGAAACATACATAATGACTACCGTTAATCGAACATGATTGATCAATTTGATATATGAAAAAGGTGAATACGAAATTTCTTCTGACATCCTTGTCTAATATAATTTGCATATTGACACAGTTATGATATTCTCCTATTATATATTTTTTATAAAACTAATGATATCAAGAAGGAAACAATGGATTTCAAGACTCCAGAAGATGTCAAGAGACTTCAAACACAAAGACTCCAAATTTTCCAAAGACTTTTAAGGACTTCGTTGAGACCTCAAAAGCAAACTTCTATTGATTTCTACCTCAGATGATATCAAATTTGGTTTTATTTTTTTGCTTTTTATCAACAAAACAGCTGGCTTCAACACGTTCAAACACTATATTAAATAATTGAACAGTTTTTTTTAAAGATTGAATAATTCACACCGAAATATATTTGTTTCATTTATTTGTTTATACAAAGTGCAAATAAAAACATTGGATGCAATACTTCAACGTAAAATATTACTCATTTTTTGTCTTTTTATTAGATTAATACTCAACGTAACATAACTGATAAGTTTTTTTTTTCATAAGTGATCAACAACCAATACTAAGCTGCGGTACTCAGTGTATTTTATAGAACCATTCATCTATTGAACATTGTATAATCTCTTATATCTATCCAGAGAAACTCATTCTATAATTTAAGATTTATATTTAAATGATTATTGGAAAAGAAATTTGTTTTTAAATATATACAATGCACAGAGAGTTTGTGTCCTTAAAATATTTTGCTAAGAAGAAGACATAGAAACCGTAGGTTATCCTTCAAGATATATAATAATTCATTTATATTCCATTATGTTAAATGATTATGCGATTTACCGAATCATAGTTAATATAGCTTTATGAAATACTCAATATCTATAAAGAAAAGTATGGATCATAGAACACACAATTAAGGTATCTTAAAGTATGTATCCGTACTTATTGTCTCCACTGATTGTCAAAGTTTTTGTCTATTCAGAACAATCTTATTTTTTCCCTATCGTTTTAAATGTATATTGCACAAGTTTTACTAAGTATTTCAAAACGGGAAATTTAACGGCATGCAATCAAAAGAGCAGCATTCGACATTTTACGAGCGAAGAAAGCCGCTGCAGAGAATAGAATGTGAGTAATCATTACTCAAGTAAGAACCAAGATAGTTGTATGTATCAATATTTACTCAATTATGTCATTCTTGCAACACAACTTTTGTTGATTATCACAAAGGCAGAACGAACGAAAATATTACTTTTCATCTTCTTTCACTGAATATGAAGTAAAACATCAAAAGATTTTAGAAGACCGAGTAAAAAATTGAATATTACGAACGATTCGAAATGGCTGTTCCATCTAGTAGTAGCTCATTGTCAAAAAAAATATTTAAATGGCATACAATTTATCTGGATCAGCTGCATGAAAATTGTATATTTACAGTTTAAAGTGAAAAGAATGGAAAAAAACAGATACATTTGATTAAGGATCTGAATCTCTTTGATCACAACAAAAAGATACTTTTGATCACCAAATTTTACAACACGTGATGTTGCATAATCTTTTCCTTATTTATTCAGCATCACTTCCATTTCAGCAGCTTTTGTATTCTTTGTTATTTAAAATGGTGATTTCTGTTGCCGAATAAGTGGCTAGTGCATATATTTGTACAAAATTTAATAGAGTTCATTTTGAAAAATGTCAACCTTAAACTAGTCTCTATTAAGTAAAGTTCACTCAAATATGAAACTTTAATTTTAACAGCATCGAAATTTTTTTCTAATTCACAACGTCAGCCAAGTAAGACTAGGGTGTGGGTGTGGATCTTTCGTTTAAGCATACCATCACCAACACCTACAACCGCACCCGCACTCACACCTACATCCACACCCACACCCAAAGCATAAAATTCATACAATGGAATTCTTAATTTGTTCAGAGCAGTTCACTGCTATAAACATAGAAGAGGCAAAATATGACTATCTGTTGTTGCGTTTACGCCTTTTATACAATGCAGCTTTCTGTTAGTAGTATTCTTTCATCTTACGCAAATATTTTTAAATTTATCGAAGAGAAACCTAGAAGAACGATGCGGGTGTGGATGTGGGTATTGTTGGGAGTGGGGGGAGGGGGTGGGAGTGTGGGTGTGGGTGTGGGTGTGGGTGTGGGTGTGGGTGTGGGTGTGGGTGTGGATGTGGGTGTGGGTGTGGGTGTGGGTGTGGATGTGGGTGTGGGCGTGGGTGTGGGTGTGGATGTGGGTGTGGGTGTAGGTGTGGGTGTGGGTGGATGTAGGTGTGGGTGGATGTAGGTGTGGGTGGATGTAGGTGTGGGTGGATGAGTCTATGGGCTTTTTTATTTCAAACTGAATTCTAAAATCAAAAAAACCACACCAATTTCTTCCGAATCAAACTTTTCTCGCTTGATACTACATAGTCTCACTAAAAACCCTTAGTCCCCCCTAGTCCTGCAAAGTCCCCCTTAGTCCCCCCCACAAAAAGCTTAGTCCCCGCTTAGTCCCCTATGCAAGGGACTAAAGCCTATAGTACACAAAAAAACAAGCACACCCTCACCCTCACTCGCGCGCCCACACCCGCACCATGGGTGTGGGTGTGTGTGTGGGTCCCAGACCAACACCCACACCCTCAGTCATCCCCCCCCTCACTCCTACACTCACGTTTCAGTTTGAAATCAAGTATTATTTTTATTTGATAAATTCAGACTGAAATTAAATAGCCCATAGTATGGGGTGGATGTAGGTGTGGGTGTGGGTGTTTATTGTATCTTCAGTTACACTCACACCCTTACCCGATTTAATTTGAAAAAGTCTCAAGTCGCGGAACAAACTAGTTGTATGGGCTAACAGACTAAAGTTAGTACTTCATCATACTGTTTTCCGATATGCTCTCAAATTCTGCTTATGCAAGAAATGTTGACCGCAATGTGCCGATTTTTCACTATAAGTGAGTATAGGGTAAAAGTCCGTATTACCTACTTACCGATAGAAACCCATTAAATCTTTGGTTATTATATTGTTAAATAGAGATTAGATATATATATGCAACACAAGCAAAAATGATGGAAAATTATTATATTTTAGGAGAGAATGATGTACTCTAGAATAGGCTATTTTTGAATTTTTGGCATTTTTCGCATAATGTCGCATCGGAGGAATCTATAAACGAGTGATCTGAATAAGTTGATATGATGCTGCACAGAAACTACTAACTTAGTATCAGATGCCTATACATAAAATTCAAATCATTAGTTTTAGTTCCAAAAAAAGTTAATACCATAAAAGGATGAAAAATGCTATCTATGGCCCCTATAGCTCGAAAAATGACATATTGTGGCTTCAAAAAAACTATGATGCCGAATGAAAGTCCGTAGGATTTTTTCATCAAAGATCTTAGGATATCGAAGTCTTCAATTGCTGAAAGTTTCAGCTTGCCAGATAATACTTCTCTATAAAGTGGGAGATTTCTGGTAGAAGTATCCATTGATAAATATAGTGGGTAAACGTATGACTAAGAAAAAATCATTAGTTGTTTAGATAAGCAAAAGTTTTGATTAATTGCCATATCATATCTTTCTCGATTCTTTGGAATTAATATTCTAGCCATTCATCTGTTATACGTATGACATTTTAAAAACTCGAAAATTTGCTTAGAAAC